AGCTATCGGTATGTATAAGCATTATCTGTCAGTTGTTGAATGTATTTACGAAAAAGTTATCCCTTTTATTTTGTTATTGATGGTACAAATATTGCTGAGTAACAAATGCCATTTCCACCGACATACCACACGAGTGGATTACAAAGACGAAAAATAGTCGAAGATAAATTTCGCAACTCTAACCCAAACTATAATAATTACAGAGCACTAAATTGGACTAATTCCATGGCTGCTTAGCGAGTGATATTGACTTATACAATTTGAATACACTAAAATGTAATGGAAAATATTATTTAGAAAAGATCTGCATCCTAAGATGGATGAGATTCTCTCCTTATTAAAAAGCTTGAAAGATATTTAGTGACTTCATATATGTTTAAACCTAACATGTAGTCAATTAATGCAGATTTAGATAGTACATTTTAACGTTTAGTACAGACTTCTCAGACATGAGATATTTTCCTGCAGCAAAAAGTATCCTATAAGTTGACTCGGATAACCAGCTATCATCATATTAAATTTCATCAAAATCTGTCCAATAGTTTTCCTGTGATGATTTCCCAGATAGACAGACAAAAATTCTAAAAACTATAGATTCAGCCTCTGTATCGATAATAATGTCTATTTCAATAAGATTTTCCAAAAAAATATTTAATGTACAGATTCTACTCAGTGAGAATTTTATTATATGTATAGATTTTTGTAGACGTCTCTATATGTCACTTATGATGACTAGAGCCACCGAGCGATTTTGCTAACAAACAAAATAAAGCTAGAAATGTTAATATTCGTAGGGGAAAAAAAAATAAAGGCAATCCACAGCTGTATCACTTCCGATTAAGCTTTTGTTTGAATCTATAAAAGTGACGATAAAGGAGCTTGTATTTTGCACGTACTATTAATTTATTTACTGTTAGCTAAAATAAAACTCAAAAATGTATTTTTGAATACTGTTAAGTCATTAATATTTCTTTATGTATACTCTAACTGAAGTGTCATTAAAACAAATTAAAGAAGCTAAAGCCAACCAGTGAAACCTCTAAGATACTAAATTGACTTATATTTTTTATTATCATATTAGGTACTAGCATTGCCCGCGGATCCGCCTGCGTTCAGATGATCAAAAACTAAATTCTTAGGTTTTACATATTAGTATACTCTTATATTGCAGTTTTTGTATTTTTTCTCAGAAATAACATATTTTCTCACGGTAAAAAGTATCCTAGATGTTGACCCGGATAACCAGCTATCATCATACCAAATTTCATTAAAATCCCTCTAGTGGTTTTTCTGTGATGCGGTAACAGACACACAGATAGACCGACAAAAATTCTAAAAACTATAGATTCGGCCTCTGTATCGATAATAATGTTTATTTCAATAAGATTTTCCTAAAAATATCTAATGTACAGATTCGGCGATATGTATAGACATTAAACAGAACTAACTTGCACGAGGTTGATATTTTTCCAGTTTTTCAAAAGGTTTTCATGAAATTAAGACAACGTCGATACAGATCTTGTTAAACAATGAATAAAAAAATGCAAGCATTACATCTTACATACGTAGTACCTTCCAGAATATAAAGAAATAGACATATTTCGAAATACAATGGCCTAAATCTATATAATACTAGCGACTCACCCTCGCTCCGCTCGAGTTCTTCCCTGGGGTGGGGTCTGGGAGGACCACCCTTATCCTTTCACTTATGGGTATGAAAAATAGATAGTAGCCGATTCTCAGACCTACTGAACACGCATATAAAATTTGGTAAAAATCGGTAAAGCCGTTTCAGAGGAATACGGTAACAAACATTGTGACATGGAAATTTTATATATAAGAAGATATAAAAATCAATTGCCTTTCTAAAACTCAAAAACAGCTGGACCGATTTGAATCATTCTTTTTTTTGTGTCAGGGGTGGTTTTAGTATTAAAAAAATAGGTCAATCCCAAATACACTGCTGTAAAATCGAAATTTAGAACAGTTTATTTAGTGCCTATTTACCTATATATAATATACAGTCGATCATTCCATAGGTACTGACCGTTAAAACGTACTTAGAGACGAACACGAACGAAACGAGGATAAGTTATGAATGAAACTATTATTAATATATTAGTTAAATAAAAACTTAGAAATATTAGTTTAATAAAAACTTTTTAATAAAAAAAATAAAAACCCACTTCAAACAAAAGCACTAAAAAGTAAAAAATAACTGATTGGTAGTTTTCATTTACTATACATACCTAATCAAATATTTTCGAAGTCGGTGTGCTTTGCTTTGTATGGGCTGGCACCGATTTCGAAAATATTTGATTAGGTATGTATTTAATAGGTAGGCTTTAATTACTTAGCCAAAGCACACCGACTTTGAAAATATTTGATTAGGTATGTATAGTAAATGAAAACTACCAATCAGTTATTTTTTACATTTTAGTGCCTTTGTTTGAAGTCGGTTTTTATATTTTTGTTAAAAAGTTTTTATTTTTCCCTTTTTAGTGTAGACAGTAGTAGCAAATTAAGAATTCTAACGTGTTAGGCTTGTCAAATCAAACAAAATAAGCCCAAACTCAAAGTATCTACTGTTAATCGTTGAAGAGTTCCACCTATCCACCTTCTGGCCTTACCATCAAATCAAGTCAACAATACCGAACCACTGTACTATCAATGGAAATAGAAACACTTGCAAAGTTTCAAGTCAATATGACAATTAGAAGTAGGTTAAATTCATCATTAGCTATTTTATCACCCTTAGGGGTGGTATTTTTTTTGAAATTTAAATCAATCTGGAAGTATGCACTTTCAAACAAAACAAAAATTGTCCAAATCGGTTAATAAATGACGAAGTTCTGAGGTAACAAACATAAAAAAAATATAAATACAGTCGAATTGAGAACCTCCTCCTTTTTGAAGTCGGTTGAAGCAAATCGTTCAACGCTCTAAAGAGTACTAAAGTATACCTTTATTCTATAGAAATCCTTTGTAGAATACAGCAACGATCAACGATAAATTGCTTTTTAACTGTTCAGATATAAACTAATGTAATTTTACACACTCGTCCGTTAAAAATGTGAAAATAAATTAACTTGAAGCTATAAACCACTCATATATATTACTATAATATTATGGAAACCCAACAGTTCTCATAAGTCAATGACAGCGTCTTTCATGTATTCTACTTCGCATTTGTTAGTGAAATAAATCGCTACAAAGGAAAACGATTGACGTTTAATATGTCCTTGTTATATAGGGATTGTGCAAGAGTTTTATTTGTAAGTCTATATACAAATAAAATATTTCATTAAAAACGCCTCGGCTCACAAAATATCTATTTAAAACGATATCTAGGAAAAAGAAAATGGTACCTAATTATAAATGTAACGTAAAAATGGTACTTTACGCATAAACAATATCACTATGAATTACACAATCACACACAAAAACACAAATCAACGACACGTTTGGCTCAGTTTGTAGTGACCCTACTAGCTGTGCCAGCGGTCGCGAATTCGAGTCCCGATGGGGGGATTTGTGTGATGACCACGAATATTCGTACTCCAGTCATCGGTTTTTATATTTATAATATGTAAGTATTTTAAGTTATAGGTATAATATGTTTAGTCTATCAACTACCTGGTATCCATAACACAAGCCTGGTAGCTTATCATGGACTAGATAGTGTTGTGTGTTATAATGTCCCAATATATTTATTATTTACTACCGACTCATCCTCCAATAATCCATACCAATTTTCATCTAAATCAGTCCAGTGGTTTACTCGTGATTCTGTGACAGACAGACTGACACACAGACAGGTAGACAGACAAAAAATTCTAAAAACTACAAATTCGGCCTCTGTATCGATAAAAATGTCTATTTCAATAAGATTTTCCAAAAACATATTTAATGTACAGATTCGACAGAGAATTTTATTATATGTAAAGATTTACAATCGTATCATTTCTTAAAAATAGTACACACCACATGAAAATAGTAATTTTGACCCAAGAGCGTTCATATAAAATGGATTTATCGCTGTTGGCAGGCTCCATAGAAGGGCCCATTGTCCTTTAAATTAACATAGGACCTTTGAATGCGTCAAGATCCTTATTTTCAAACGCTCATTGTTTGTCTAGGGGTGACTATTCCAATCACTACATATTATAAATTCAAGTCCCCGCCGTGCCGTGTTTTTGTGTTTGTTGGGACTAATCTCAGAATGTATTTCATACGATTTTCATTAATAGGAAGATTCATTCTCTAGAAATTTTATATATAGGTTAAATAATAATCAAATCACGAAAATAAACTAGCTGTATTACGATATTTTGTATTAAGTTAAAAAAAGAAAATAATTTTACTGAGAATTTCTTTGACCTTGATTATCACTCGAATATAAACACATACTAATATTATAAATGTGAAAGTGTGTTTGTTTGTACTTCTTTCACGTCGAAACGGTGATTTTTTGTGCTGAAATGGCTGCGAGGGCAGGAGAGTGACATAGGCTACTTGTTACCGCGGGAGATTATTTCACTCCCAGTGGAAAACACGTTATAATACAACTCACAACAACTCATCAAACATTATGTACATACATATATATATATATATATATATATATATATATATATATATATATATATATAAAGTGTACCAGTGGCAAAGGGTGAAATTTTAGCAGAGGTAAGCCGTTCCAAAAAACACAAAGAAACATTGATATACAATTTTTATATACGTATTAATGCAAAAAGAAATAAATCTATTATTAAATATATTGGTATTTCTAAAAGAACATTTATACATTTTAAAAATTAAATGTATGCAAAATTATAACAAAATACATTTCAAGGTAAGAGATATTGTATGGACCCTTCGCCACTGTAGTCTACCTATCCCATACTAACCGTTAAGACGTACGTAGGGCGAGCCCGAGCGAAGCCAGGGTGAGTCGCTAGTAGGAATTATAATATGCATTATAAATAAATCGAACTTACCTCTTGCCCTTCCAAATTACACGTATGACTGTTAAACCTCATCAGTTTGACAGTTTTGTCGTTGGACCCGGTCGCCAGCAGGTCGCCGGCGGGACTCCATGCTAAGCAGTAGATACTGCCCTTATGATGTTTCGTCCTTTTGAGTAGGACTGTGGGGGCTGTTGGTGCGCTGTTATCTCTGTAAGTAAGAGAGTGTCATGAATCTCTTTGCCGGAAGACGTTTTATGCATTCATATATTATTCAATAATTAATGTAGGATTGTTATAATTAATTATAATATTTTACTATCCATACTTCTATACTAATATTATAAATGTGAAAGTGTGTTTGTTTATTTGTTTGTTTGTTTGTCCTTCTTTCACGGTTAGGGGGCTGTTGGGGGACAGTTTCTGTTTCACCGACAGTTAGGGGTCACCTAAATATTAAAAGGCCCCCTAAATTTAGGTGCTCGAAATATGGGCTTAAAGACGATCGTTAAACGAAATTTAATTTAGGGGCTAGTTTAGGGGACGTTTAAGCTAAGGATCCCATACGTAGGTGGTAGCTTATGGGTTGTAGGTGAAATCGGGCATTACACACGTAAAAGCTTCAACAAAGAAACACTCCTCGTTCTAAATCGAGGTTAAAAATACAGATAAAAATATACTTTACAGTTTGTTGAAATCCATAAATTAACACTATAATTAACAAAATGTACACAAAAACGTCTTAGATACTCTTTCACACGCCTAAACGTATACATAGTATTACGCAAGATGCGATGCAAGAAAGTTTATCGTCATACAAGAAACTTGACATGCCTCGAATGGTGTTAGTGTAATTGCTTTTTAATCAAGCTTTGCTGCAAATGTCGAAGAACGTCTCATCATCATACGTGTTTATTAATCGATATATTATCATGATATATACTTATTATTGTTAGAAGTAATAATTATTGAATGGTTAGTAGACCAAATATAACATATGGGAATCTTCAAAAGGAAGCAAATGAGCCTTTTAAAGCTTTTAGGAGGCTCCATCTTCAGATTGGGTCGATGTTATCAATTTTTTTTACCGACGAAAAACAAGGAGGTTAAGTTGAGTAGGAAGTGAAGGTTATCATATAATAATAATAATAAATATTATAAAGAGGCAGAATTTGTTTTTTTTGGAACGCGCTAATCTCAGAAACGACTAATCCAATTTGAAAAAATCTTTTATATATTATATAGTCTATCTATTCTATACTAACCGTTAAAACGTACCTAGAACGAACTCGAGCGAAGCTCGCGTGGGTGACTCGCTAGTATATGTACGTATAAACTTGCAAATAAAGGCAAAAATTAGAAGTTGATTATAAAGAACTTCCAACATTTTACTACATAGTTAGTTACAAGTAAAGCAAGAATTTAAGAAAACTAAAAATATAGTGCCAAAAGATTCGAAGAAGAATAAAAACATAACTTATCTTCGCAAGCAACAAAATTCTAATTCAGTGCCATTTGAACTTAGGTAGGTACCATAGAATGAATTAAAGTACACTCCATTCTTCATATACAGATTATTTATTACCTTATAATTGGACATGGTATCATGGTTCATGTAAAAAATTCTTTCTCATGGTATTTCTAAGTAGAATGGAAGGATATCCAATAAATATATCAACATAATTAGCTATTATTTATTGACAAAGCGATTATTGTAAACCAATATCGATGACGCATTATAAATTTCTATAGACTGAACGCGTGTCCGAGCATCTTTATCTGTACCAATATACTTGGCCCTAGTAATGTATACCTGATCAACACTCAAACTTTATATCTATTCTAAGTCGAATCTGTACATTATATATTTTTTGGAAAATCTTATTGAAATAGTCATTATTATCGATACAGAGGCCGAATCTATAATTTTTAGAATTTCTGTCTGTCTGTCTATCTAGGAACGCTATGCGAGGAAACCACTAGATGGTATGTCGATTGCCGGTGATCCGGGTCAATGTATAGATAATAGGATACTTTTTACTGCGGGAAAATATCTTATCTCTGAGAAATCTATACTGAACGTTAAAACGTAACTAGGGAGCAGGGACGGACCAATACGAAGCGAGGGCGCTAGTATAAAATAAAATTCAAAAACTAAGTGGATATAAGTATGCCGTTAACTTAACATATCCTGCAAAATTTTCTGGCCGTCTAATAATATTGTCTAACATAAAGCAAATTGTATGTATATAAGGATATCAAAATATTCAGGAATTGGAAAAAAGTGGAAAAATAAGTTAAAACGCAAGCAAAGATGCAATAAATAAGAAAACGAATCAAACCTATCATATTTCCTATGACCCATCATGTGCTTGACGGATGGACAATACGAGCACACCTACTAGTGTATACTTATAGAATTTTTAATGGGCAAGTATTGTTTGCTAAGTGTGAATCACTTTCTAGCTTGTTAATATTCTTAAGACAACGTATGGCTTAGCATTATTTAACTTAGGTATATGCATATTTTTGCAAAAAAATTGTGCTCAAGAGTATTTGTGTACCGGAATGAGGAATTACAAGATTGTTTTGACAACATTTATTGACTTTTACCAAGACGAAAGCACAGCATCAGGATAGGTGTGTAACTCCTACGAATACAATTATGTACTTTAACCATATGACATAATAGGAGGGAGGTTGGATTTTATATAGACTCACGCTCCGCTCGTGTTCGTCCCCAGTTACGTTCTAACGTTTAGTATAGATTTATAAGAAACGTGATGTTTTCTCGCAGTAAAAAGTATCCTATATGTTGACACGGATAACCAAGCTATCAACGTATCAAATTGTATCAAAATCTATGCAGTGGTTTTCTTGTGATGCGTTCCTAGACAAACAGATAGACAGACAAAAATTCTAAAATCTACAGATTCAGCCTCAGTATCGATAATAATAACTATTTCAAATAAGATTTTACAAAAAATATTTAATGTACAGATGCGACTCAGAATTTTATTATACGTATAGATATATTACATATATTGTTCCCTATACTTATTACTTATGGTACAAAACTAATGACGTGACGAGAAAGCTTAAGTGCCTATTTAGGCAAGTTACATGTCACTTCAAATTACGTGAGCGTGAATAAGTAGTCTCTTTACGCCCATTATATAGATTTGAATTATACCTACTTTAATCTTTCATGAAATTGCCGTTATTATTGAGGTTATTTTGGAAATCGAAAACCACTGCCCAATATATTTAGATGCGATTTGTCTTATATTTACGTAATGTTATCTATAGGTACATATAGTAAAATTCTGAGTCGAATCTGTACATTAAATATTTTTTGGAAAATCTTATTGAAATAGTCATTATTATCGATACAGAGGCCGAATATCTAAATTTTTGAGATTTTTTTATATGTCTGTCTGGGAACGCATCACGAGAGAACCACTGGAAAGATTGTTATGAAATTTATTATGATGGTAGATGGTTATCGGGATCAACATATAGAATACTTTTTACTGCGGGAAAATATCTAATCTCTGAGAAATCTATGTATACTAAATCTTAAAATTAAAATTTTAAATAACGTCTTAGTGATAAACAATATTACGTACAACATTGGCTATCACATAACATATACAGCTATCACTAATAATACTGGTCCATCACAATGTAGAGGGAAACATTCTTTCTTACTAATAAAATGTGGAATCGTGTTAGTTCGTCTTTCTTTCGCGCAGCAAATAATCGTCCTTATTTTTTGTAAATGATTATTTATAGAGCCGAGATAAAAAGCAACTTTTTTACGATATACCTACATACTAACTCCATGATAAATTGCACATTTCAATCGATCAAACAGACTCGAAACCATAATTAAAATCTTATACTAGGTAGAGTAATACCTACTACAACGATATAAAATATCTTACTTAAATCTCATTCGAATCCTCTATCCGCCATTTGAAATTCAAATTCAAATTTTTAAATCTTCATTAATTCTATCCTGCAGAAACACTTCTTTCACGATATAATAAATAAGTACACGGAACTTCCCGATTCGACAAAGATTAGCAGATACAAACCAATACAGTAGGTACCTAACTAAATTATAAAATTTCTTCGATATCATATAAATAACTATATAAATTCAATATGAGGTAAATTTTTGAAATCGGAGTTAGACTTCAATTTCATATAAGTATAGATATAATATTATAGTAAAATCACTAAAATTATGCAAATTATTTTCTCGCCTCATCTTATATGAGCACTGTCATGGCCTAACAAGTGTAGACTGTAGGCGTTATGTCAGCAGAGTGGATCGATCCTATTTTCAACCGACTTCAAAAAGGAGGAGGTTCTCAATTCGACTGTATGTTTTTTTTTTTTTTTTTTTTTTATGTTTGTTACCTCAGAACTCCGTCATTTATTAACCGATTTGGACAATTTTTGTTTTGTTTGAAAGGGTGTACTTCCAGATTGGTCCCATTTAAATTTCAAAAAAAAATACCACCCCTAAGGGTGGAAAAACAACTAATGATAAATTTAACCTACTTCTAATTGTCATATTGACTTGAAACTTTGCAAGTATTTCTATTTCCGTTGATAGTACAGTGGTTCGGTGTTGTTGACCTGATATGATGGCAAGGCCAGAAGGTGGATAGGTGGAACTCTTCAACGGCTAATAGTAGATACTTTGAGTTTGGGCTTATTTTGTTTGATTTGACAAGCCTAACACGTTAGAATCCTTACTTTGCTACTACTGTCTACACTAAAAAGGGAAAAATAAAAACTTTTTAACAAAAAAATAAAAACCGACTTCAAACAAAAGCACTAAAAAGTAACAAATAACTGATTGGTAGTTTTCATTTACTATACATACCTAATCAAATATTTTCGAAGTCGGTGTGCTTTGGCTAAGTAATTAAAGCCTACCTATTAAATACATACCTAATCAAATATTTTCGAAATCGGTGCCAGCCCATACAAAGCTAAGCACACCGACTTCGAAAATATTTGATTAGGTATGTATAGTAAATGAAAACTACCAATCAGTTATTTGTTACTTTTTAGTGCTTTTGTTTGAAGTCGGTTTTTATTTTTTTGTTAAAAAGTTTTTATGTATAACAAACTGTTCATAGGAGGACGTTGACTCGGGCATTATTAAAGTCCATATTAAACATCCATACTAAC